GAACAATTTTGAGATATTTATAATAATATTTTTTTTTTAAAAAATGTCGTAATAATCTATTAACTTAATCTATATTAATATTACTAATAAATGTAAGAAAGTAAATATTGGTAAAAGTATTAATTAATGTAGTACACAAATACTACCAATCACTTATATCTGGTTAGGCTAAAGACACGACGTACGTAAGTGTTAAAAGTATTCATTTTCTTTCTAAAATTAGCATCTTTAATCCTTAAGTGTGTGTGAATACATGTCTAATACATACATCTAACTATGTATTCACCTCGTCCTCCATGATGCAAAAGTTACAATTACACACAACAGGTAGCTTCAAGGTTGATGTGAAAAATCAGTGCAAATTTGGAATCAAACACACCGGAACTTCAGTCTCTAGGGCGTATAAACAACCCTTTCAACCAGTTTTTTGTTTTGCCAATAATGATCCATGCAAACCAAATTAAAACCTCTAACAAAACCAGGGAAGCACTTCATTCATATGTATTTAAAAAAATGAACAATTTTAGCAAAAGATAATCTAAATATTAATTGATCAAGATACACAAAAACAATCAATCACTTCTATTTTATTTTATTGAGCACAATTATTTTATGAAAGTAACGTGTATAAGGTAGAAAAGTTGAGAAATGATTTTTAATTCGATTATCTAGAACTCAGCTAGCCGACACGGTTAAATAATCATATTCTGGATTTTTTAATTCCTCTTTGACTATAATGTTGATGCAGTTAGGAATTAATATAATAGTTCCCACGTATCGTTCTCATTTAACATATTTTAATGCAGCATCCAAGAAAAACCTTTTTCTTCGATTTGTCATTTGGTTCAGTAAATGTGGCTTAATTAATTTATCATCACGAAACTTCTGTAGCTACTTAAATTCCTGAATCAAAGTCTCGAATGCGACTTGACTAAGCAAAATTGCTAAGGAAATTGCAAGTGAGAAAGTTTGACAGTTACTATGATGGCGATAACGATGATGACTGTGATCACAAAAGTCTACTGTTGTTAGTTACGCTATTACGCACAACACCATGATACAAATTAATATCTTCATTTTCTTATTAACCAAGAAGTAAACTTTAATTTGCCAACCTAAATTACACGTCACATCTTTGCCATCCAATTGCACATATATAAAACGGTTATCTGAGTCACATAATTTTATGGATAAATATTCTTTAACAATCATGCATTAGTTTTACACCATCAAGTAATTAAATACCACCCATGATATATATTTTATTTATTTATTGTAAAAGTTAATCACTGATTTTATTTAAATACAAGTTATGAGTATTTTTAATTTTTTTTATTAAAAATAAATAATTATTTTCAATAAATAAATTCTCAAAAATACTTTTAAAATTTTATCTAAACAAACTCAATAACTTATTATATAAAATGATGATTTATAATTGGATGACAATATAAAACTATTTTACCGTTTATACTATAAGTGCACCATCTTTTTCTTTTTTTTCAAAAAAAAAATTACACTATCACTAATCAAATGCGAATATATAAATGTATGCTTATTGATTTTTACAATAGGAAAAATAGTATACATTATCATCTAATTACAAATCAATATATATAATAAAATTGTTCACTTTGATAATAACTAAAATAAAATTCTTATACCGTGGATAAATTTTATTTATCAGGGGTATAATTTCTTTTAATACTTATACCTTTTTATATTGGCAGTACATGTTTATTAAACTAATTTCATGAGGTAATTGATTATATATTAACAGTATAAAAATAATTTTATATTATAATGTAATCACAAAGTATTATTGACTTTTACAATAATTATCTTAAAAATAATTTTACACTTATAATACGATAGACCTTAATTTTATAGTCAACTTAGGTTATCAAGCAATTTTCCTTTCCCATGGTCGGAAATAAAGAAAACTGCATTTTCTAGATTACTTCGTGTCTCTACCTGGTGTAACTTGGAGTAGTATTCCAAGTTGTCACCATCGTCAATATTATCCACAAAAAAGTCCAACTATTTGGACAACCAATATTGTTCAGTTTTTCGTAGTATATATCTAAAATTTGTAACCATCACTTGTGGGAGAATTAATTTTCCAAAGAATTGTATAACTCTTTCTAAAAGACGCAATCAAGAAGAAAGATAGAAACCAAGAAACACTCATGAAGCACATGGTTTACTATGTGTTTGGTCTAACTTATGTGGTCTGCTAGCTTTTAAGCTTACTCAACTAACTCTATCCACCAACAACTGTGTAAGTATACAAATTCTTTAACGCATTTTAAATTAGTAGTGTGAATGAAACTAATTGATTAAAGTAATAAATTAAAAAACTTCTAGATGGCAGCTGCGAAATTTAATGTATTTCTGTATTGAAGTGCACGGCACTTGGCATTTGGAAATTTTCTTATAGACTTTATGGCCAAGTACAATGAGAAGTTAATTCAATGTGCTTTATGAATTAATTTTAAATAAGACATTTTTAAATTGGGAGAGTTTTTTGAATTAATTTCTCACTTTTGAGAGTTTTTTTTTTAATTAAGTGTATAATTCTTAACTTTTAGAGAAAAAAATTCCTTACAAAGTTATAAGTAATTATAGAAAAGTTAGAAGTAAGAGCTAGTTTTTTAGAAAGTTTAAAACATAACATGTAAGAAATTTAATTTATTTTTCTAGGAATATTTATTAAGAAATCTATTCAAATTAATTTAGTTGATCGTACATGTATAACTATAATCACTATTGTTATTTTTCTTGTCAAAAACCTAATCCGATATAAAACTTTGAGTGCTTCTACTATGAAGTATTTGGGTAAGTGGCTTATAGGTTAGGTTAGTAAATTTTTAAAATGTAATAAAAATTTATTAAATAATTTATTTTACAATATTATTTTAATAAATATTTAATAATTTTTTTAAAAAAAAATATTTAAAATTTGAAGCATACAATTACATAAATATCTTTTCAATAATAGTATATAAAAAAATAATTAAAATTTTATTAAAGTTATAGGCAATGATTTCATGCAATTGTAGCATCTTCTCATCATTGTCATCTTTGAGAATGAGTGTGAAGTCATTGGTGACATTTTTCCTCCATGCGACACCAACAAATAGGAGAACAAGGCCTTCATAGGTGTGGATTGGGCAAGGTAATTAAAGGATGTTGATAGCAACAAAGACATCAAGGAATCATTCGCGAGGAGAAGAGGGTTAGGAAGGCGCTCCAATGATGACAATCAAAGTTGTGAAAGTGAAATTTGGACGAAGGAATGGATTTTGGGGTTTTCATTTGATTTCCTAGTAGAGTTCGGTCTCATTGAGTTCATTGGCAACAAAGGTGGAGTTAATGACAATGACAACAACAAGGAAGGGGAAGAAGGGGAAGGGGCCAAAGGGATGGTTGGAGGAGGAAGATTAGCGGTGGAAGGCAGTGACAAATCCATGTTGAGTGAAGGAGAAAGAAAATAAAAATGAAAAGACATGGTTGTAAAATTATTACACAAAATCTTAGTCATCTGATATAAAATAATTATAGATTTACATTTATGTTACTTAGAAACAGATAAACTACTTAAGAAAATACTTTTATTTGGTGACTTATGGATAAGAGTCATAAGACACTTACCAAGATTATGTTTCATGCTAGAATTTTCCTAAAATTCTATTTAGACCACATATTTAATTTTCATGCTTAGGCCTTTTGTTAAAATATTTTACAAGGAATTGAATTCATCACTTTATCACTTTAATAAAAATATGGGACTAGGAAAATAAAATAAAGTTTCAATTAAGGATTAACCTTTTGTTTGAGTTTAAGCTGTACATAAGATATTACCAACTGATAAAGATTTAAAATAGTTATATGTTTAGCCCGCATTTTTTTTTATAGTATTAAATTTAGAGGTTATATATCTTAAGAAAAAAAGGATTAGAAGTTTCTACAACCCACAAATGGGTAACCACAATTTAAAACCTGTATGTAGCGAATTAGATAAAGCTTAATTATTTTATGGACAAAACAAAAGAAAAAAAATATAAGTCCATTTCTTTAAAAGTATTTTTAAACACGTGTTTTTTAAAAATACAATTGAAACAAATAAGAATTGCTTAAAATTAATTAAATGTTTTTTTTTAAAGAAACCTAGACAAACAAATCAGAAAATATAAAAAAAAATTATTTTATTTTTAAAAAAGACACTTTTATAATGAAAAAAAGTTTAAATAAACATACCCATTATAAGTATATTGCTGGTATTATTTTTTTAATTACAAATAACATTTCATCTTGATATAATGATATATGGATATGATTATTCAAATTTAGTGAGAAATTTGCTTTTTCTTAGCCAATTTTGAGGTCACTAAATTTTCGTGCGAAGTTTTTTTTTTAAAACTACATATACATTACTCCATTGCTATTTTTAAGTAATTAATTAAAAAAAATTAATTATCGAGTTGAAAATCATGATTATGGAGACAAAATTTTGATTAAAAAGACTACAACGGCCGGTAATAGTATATATAAAATTGTTATTATTTTAACATACTATTAGGATAATTTTAAAAGGAATTTGATACTTCTTGAAATTTTACTGCACCCATGAACAACATCAAAATAAGTCAAAACAATGACAATAATGAAACCCTAAACTAAAACTAAAACCAAAACAAAGACAAATAGGGAGATGTAACCATTAGTAAATTAACTCGAATTACATATATGTAAATAATCACGACCCAGATTTTTTTTTTTTTTGAAGGGACGACCCAGATTTTATATAGAAGTAAGAAGCAAGCATATCCTTCATCGATCATATATATCAATTCTTTAATTATCTCAATTGGCTTTGTCAATGTCTCTCTGAATTGTCAAACAAATTTAGCGCAAGGAAAATGTGGGTTGGTTTTTATTAATTGCATCTAATTTTCTTTGACTCGGAATATCTTGAAGTTCTAAATATGCCCAAGAAATGAACAATTTTTGTTACATTATGATAACCAAATATAGACCATCCATATTATTAAAAAAAAAAAAAAAACATTCATCTGTCTATGATACACAAACTACACCTCCCTAAGTTCAATTAATTAACAGTACTTAACATATCAATTAATAAAAATAATTAACCAAAGTAGTTGGCTTCCCAATCTTCAAAATCTCCAAATCATTCTCAAAGGGTGTCAAATTCAAATCCAAAACCAAAATCTTCTTGTCGCCAACTTTCTTCGTTGATGAAGAATCAAAACTGCGACTACCACCGCTGCTACTACTCAAAGTTGTCGAATTGTGTGCGATTCCATTCAAATTTGCAGCCCTATGCCTCCTCATGTGGCCCCCCAAGGCTTGCCCTATGGCAAACTCCAACCCACAAATGGAGCACTCATGTGTCTTAGGTTTTGGGGGTGAATCATGAAGCAATTGAGGATCCATGTCCCCAGACATCAACCTAGGTTTTTTGTGACTAGCCCTGTGGCCGCCAAGTGCTTGAAACGAAGGGAATTGCCTGTTGCATGTCTTGCACTCAAAGACACGGTGGTTGTTGTTGTTGTTGTTCATGGAAGTGTTGGAATAGGTGGCTTCAAATTGATCACTTCCACGAGAAAGCAACATCAAACAATTTGCCATGGTTAAGTTCTCAACCTCTCTTTCTCTCTTCATCACAACTAATAAAACCAAAACGAATTTGAAATATATGGCTTGAAGGTGTGAAAAGGAATGTGGATGTGTATGGAAATAAAAAGATGAGAAAAAAGGTACTGGAATGGAACTCTTGGAGACTCGGAAAGCTTTGGTATTTATAAAGGCTTCTTGGTTTGGTAGCTTGAGAGTGTTGAACACTTCTCCATTAATAGTTGACTTTTACTGAAATGATTCCCTTTTTTGTATGTGCTATTTTTTTTGAACAATTTCTTGCGTGAATGAAGATCGTGTTTATAGACACATCACACACTTAATTAATAATATTTCAAAATAATATTTCTTTAAAAAATTTATCATCTATAATGATCTTATTCAAGTTGAACAAAGTTATATATTATATTTGACACTCAGAAGAAATATAGTATAATTTAATATTATTTGAATATATTATAGGATTTGATTAGTTATGTATCTACACACACACAAATTGGTGTGACATGATGAATGATGTGTGTTGCCAAACAAGGTTAGTGTGAGTTTGATTACTTGTGAAATAAGAAAGGGTGACTGCTGCAGCAATTAAAGCAATTAATTAGATGTGCTGAACTAAGAAAGAGGGTTACTTAGGAGTTGTTTGGTGTGAAAGGAGTTGGCTGCTGCAACGTAAGCGTGACACATTTGCTGAGCCAAACAAGACGGAACCAGTCGCACCCAACTAAACCTAGATTTAGGATTTCGATCGGAGGCGGCACTACTATTACTAAAACTGTCTCTGTTCAAACGTTGCTCATAATTTTTTTTTCTTTTTATTTCTAAAAATATCGATAATCGTATATTAATTTCCTTCTACACGTAAATTTGATTATCTCTTTTTGACAAAATTTTATTTATATAATTAAAAAAATTATGATATATAATATATACTTAATAAAAGACAATTATATATCAACTGTGTAACTGTGTCAGTCTTATATATTGGTTAATATTATGTGAGTGTTGAAGTAATTAACATACATCATATTTTAACTTCCAACCTAATTATCATTATTACATAATTTTGATGAATAAATAATTAATTATGTCAGTAAAAATTTCTGTGACAATGTGTGGTTGATTAACAAAATAGTAATAATATATGTACAATAATTTATATAATATTATTTTTTATGTTTGTATATACTTTAAAAGATAAAAAGGTATGAAAAAGGAAGCAGCAGAGGACCAGAGTTGGAAGCAACAGTTACGGACCTACATGTGAAGCTGACTTCCAAGCATCTAGAAATCATGTTCCACGTTGAACATGACGAAGATTCAAATAAAATAAAATAAAATAAAATAAATTTAAATTATCTGTTGGGAGATATGAAAGATATTCATGCAAAGGCAATTGTCTTATTTGAATCAATTTTTTTAAGGGTTGAAAATGTCAGTAGGTGTGTTTGCAGGAAATAGGGGTTAAAATAAGGAAACTTCAGCTTATATTTCTTTTTCTATTTTCCATTTTATATTCTTCTACATTTCTTTTTTACTTGGTGGAATCTTTTTGATTAATTAGTTTATAGACTTTGATTAATTAGTTTAATATTAATATATTAAGTTCTTTCATTATTTTTAATATTATATTATAAAAATTATATAATTTCTCACACTCGTAATTTTTATTGTTTTAAGGAAAATATTCTTATAAAAGGAAAAAAATCCAGTTGCTAAAAATATTCCTATTTACTTTCTCGTAATATTATGTCACGTAGTTTTTTTTTTATACTATTGTAAGAAATTAAATTAACTTTTTAAATTACTCTATTTCGAGAAGTCTAATAAAAAAGGTTTTTAAAATGAATCACGAAAGTACGTACCTCCCACACTTTCACATTTGCGGGACATTATTAAAACAAAAGATACAATTAAGAAACTCATGACCTGCGAAAAAGTTGAATATATTTGTAGTTGTTCTTCTTAACAACTGCTCTTAGTCTTTCACATGTAAAAATAATAATATATACAATGATCTCTACCGTTGTTGTGTTGCTTGTGGAGGTTTTATTTGAAAAGTAACTTCCATTAAAGTTGCCCTAAAAAACCCAAAAGTTATTTATTTCAACTCGAAAAGTACTGTGTATAAAATTTTTTAAATTCAAAGTCATGATTAATATGTTATTGTTAAACTACCATCCAGACTATTCCATCTTAACAAAATTATTAGATGAACAGAAAACACTGCATTTGGATACTATACGGTACAATAATACCTAAAAACTCCTACCACTAACAATATACACATGACACATATACAATGTCATGTCATGTCATATACATATATACTAACATTGTAACATTAAATTAATTTTAGTTGGTATATAATTTTTATTTAATAACATAAATTAAGCTACTAAATAATAATCAACGGGGTACGTTGAGTCTAACAGAAAGAATTATTCTATCCCACGTGGTGTTTTAGTTAATATATATTATACTAACATAGTATAATATATCATAGACAAATCACCGTGAAAATATATGAAATATTTGAATAATGTACTATATTATTAATATAAACATATAATATTTATATTAACGATTTAAATTTTATATTAAATAAATGTTGTATATTAATGGAGGTTGTATATATTTAACATGCACCTAACCTTATTTCTCTTTTTGTAAGTGAACGTCGACATTGCAGTGATGTGTGTAATTAATGTAATCAACAAATATTTCTATAAAGAAATGTTGTTTGTAAAATAAATTAGACAACAATCTTATTATTTGCACGTTTGTCCTAATGTTATTTTTTGCACCTTTTCTTGTACTTATCAGAAGAAACCATTCCTAGCTTTTTTCCATCACATATAAAAGAAAATGAGTAGAACCGAAAATGCATAGGAAATTTTCCGAAATTGAAGGAGGAAAAATTGTTGGCGTTACGCGTGTTTGGCATTTGATAATATTAATTAATTAACCGACTATGCTCCTTGTAATAGGTTTGATGCGGACCATATAAGTCAATGTGCCTTATGCATCATCCTAATCCATTAGGTGCTTTGGATTTCGATCACAATTTGTTCCATTCATGTTTCCAACTTCCAACTAAAATCATTGACCATTTTGTTTGTACGTTATTACCTGGCAAACACCTTCCAAGCTACACAATTTCTGTCAAGTTAAGGATACTTCTCATCTTTTCTACTATTCTACCTTTTTCTGTCAAATTTCTAGAGCTTCTCACAAAACTACTGTTCTAATCTTTGATTTTCAACTCAACACCTTTCATTTTCTTTTGCTTATCAAAATTAATGTACTATATATAATTAATTTAATCATGTTTTATTATCAAATGGATTTGTTGTAAACGAATACTCTGATTAATGAAAAGAATAATAACGTGATATGTGAAGTTGTGATGAAAAGTATAAGATAAACTACTCTTCCCTTGAATCAAATCTACACGTACCAATACCAATCATACAGTAATAAAATAAAATCAAAAATCAAAACCTAAATATGGAATTGCAATTAATTGAACATATATTGCATTACTTTTGAATGAATGTGAATGCAATTCCGATCGAAAATATTATTTTGCTCTTAAATGAAGTAACCAATAAGAGAGAATTATATATACCTTTTTTTGTGTAATAAATTTTTAAAACAAATAATTGACATATATATATATATAAAGAGAGAATAATTCAAATGATAGCAATGTTACTTTTACTAAGTATTATATCGTTCAATAACTTTATATTAAATATGAATTTTATAAATCTAATAGTTGAATTATAACTCTATATCACTTTATATGTTTATATCAAATTTTATTAAAATCGAATAATAACTTGAAGGTAATTAAAGTATTCATATTTTATTATATTTTAAGATGTATATATTATATTAATTTTACTTTATAAGAATGAAATATCAAATCATCTTGGATTAATATAAAAATTTGTATATATGATCTGAGAGTAAAAAACTTTCAATTTAATGGTTGAATTTATAAAAATTACATTTAATATAAAATTATTGAACGGTGTAATACTTAGTAAAAGTTATACTAGTATCTTTTGAACCCTCCTCATATATATATATATGTATAGATCTGTTAAAATTTATGTATTTTTTCCCTTATTTCATATATTTTTATAAATCAGCCCTTGTATGTAACGCAAAAATTAAACTTTTGAAACAGATGGGTACTAGTATCCATAGCTTAGGTAGTTAGGGTAATCTAGATTTAATTAACTTTGTCCAAATTCAATTTAATATTTATTGTGTCAACCTTTTGAGCTTGTATACAAAATTAATCCGACTCTGTATGTTGAAAATATACAACTTCAAATATTTTATTTGATTAGCTTATAAAATTTTGTAAATGTTCTGAAAAAAATAAATAAATTATGGGCCTAGATTTGTATGGTTCACTAAGGATTTCTATACGGTGCAAAGCGTGATTGGGCCAAGTCCATATTAATGGATAAATCAAAGAATTTCATGCAACACCACAAAACACATCTCACAACTAAGACTTTATAATATTATACTTAAAAGCATCCATCACCTATTAAGCAAATTTTCATAGGATTACTTAGAGGAGCTTCAATAATAAAAATATAATTCTTTAATAAGATATTGTATTTATGATTATCAATTTATCGTGGTGTAATAGGATAAACACGAAAGAATATTTAATTAAAAAGAGAATAATAAAAATAAAATTAAATATTAAAAAAAGATATAAAACAAGTCGAAATTAAATCCAAGAACAGCCTATCAGATTGAATTCCACTCAATGACTATAATTTCTTTTACAAAATTTGAAAATTATGTAATATTTTGTTAATTAAATTTAAATTAATGTATGACATATATTGTTATAAATATACATTAATTTGAATTAATAAAATAAAATATTGAATAATTTTAAAATTTTGTAAAAATTTGTATACTTAATATATTCATTAATTTTTTTTAAATTTAAAAATTTTATCATTAAAATTTAAAGTTGACTAGTTATTAAACGGAATAATTTTATCAAAATTTATTTTTTCAAAAATAAATTTCTCTATGTTGCATAGTATTTTATTTCTTTTTTATTTTATTGTTTTATCTTTCTCTTCGCTTTCTATCTCTTATACTAAATATATATGCCTAATAAGTGTATGAGTTTGTTTTTCAAGAGAAAAACTTAAAAAAGCTGTTAGTGAAG